AATGCAGCTTCAAATGAAAAATAACTTAGCTGTACTACCCAATGGAGATTTATTTTTCACATATGTGGACCAAGAAGATATAAAAAAGTTCAGTGTGTATCCCTTCAATTTACAACTGCAGTGCATTGTGGCGTCTCGTGACATCATCTACTATTCACATATATACAACCTTAAAGTTGTAGGAAATGGTATGTATGTGAGAAACCTTAGGAGAAGCACACAAAAGAATTCGAGTCGCAGGGCACTTTTACAATAAAACAGTACAGAAAAACTTCCCAATTCGATAATAGAGGGGGTTACTTAGGAAATCTAATTGCTCCCCCCATCCCCCCATTTACCAATACAACAACATTTCTTTACCAAACATTTCTTCAAAACATTTCAACAGATCTGCTTTTAACCTCAGACATTATTTTTGGAATTGCCATTAAAAGTCCTTTTTTATAATCTCATTTCTTAGATAGCTCATCATTTTCTCCCACATTTGCCCCCGGTGGAGAACCCATGCAAATGGAAACAGCAGTTCAAGGAAAAGAGAAGTTTCTTCACTGTGTAGCAAGTGGAAAGTGAGTCATCATCAAATCTTTTACGTCTTTTTCATATATTTCTCTAGTTTGAGTGCCCTTCAAAGGTTCATATAAACAAACATTACTAGCACGTTTACTGACTATCTTTTAGTCCTAGCACCTTCACTTCAATTTTTGCGACGAGTGTTCGGAGGTTGCATACTTTGCGTCCGACACTTAAAACAGTTCTAAGCGGTCTCTTTAATTTTACGATTTCTTTGAATACTGTACGATGTAAAATTGGCCTGGTTATAAGCCCATCAAGAAACCTTTACGAATGAGCATAAGCCCAGGGTTTTTAACCGGAATTTTTACTGAAATTTCAGGATCTTTGCTTTAAATAAATCATATTTAATGTTACTGATATATTCATTATGATTCATGATATTCATCATAATGATCATTAATATTTATTTTCAATCGATAGCCCTGCTCCTCAAACTAGATGGTATAGAGTCTTTGAAAATGGCAAGACCAAAGAAATTGTTAACGGTAAAGATGGAATTCTTATCCCAAGAGCCAATCATGGAAGGGTGTTGCACATTCTAAAGATCTCTAAGGAGCAGCATGAGCCTGGAAACTACAGATGTGAAGTTTCAAATGGTCAAGGAAAGACATTGGTCTCCAAACTTATCAAAATCACTGTTTATAGTGAGTCAACATGTATATCATTGATGTCGACATTTTGAAATTGTATCTTAAAATTATATCTTAAAATAGAAAAGATCACATGAATAATCAAATGAGCTAATATGAAATATCTACCTTTCTTTGTACCTTAAATGTTTGCGTACGTTATGACCGGTTGTCCCGTGTTCATCGATAATTAGCCGACTGTCCTTGGACAGCAGTGGAGTCGGCCATTGAAGTGCAGACAAACGATCTGCCAACAATGGGCTGCATTGTCAGCCAGTTATGAAGTACACGATAAATACACCCATGCATGTGTATAACCTTGGAGTCTGTCAAMARAAAGCAAGAGAGAAATACTTGGTTATGGGTTCCTAAGATTCTTTCATGCTCTACAGCTTCCAGCCTAGGCCAATATTCACTGATCCGACTACACAGTGTTAGATGTATCACACATTAATCAGTTCATGCTCATCTGCTAGAAAGCCTACTCTACAAAAAAACCCGGAAACTAACCAGTGGCTTAGCGAGAGAGAAGGGGA